TTCAATTTCGTGGAATATCCTGTGTGCAGAATTATGTCCTTTTGTGCATTAGTTGTAATTTAGATGGCTACTCAAAAATTGAATCAGTATACATATAATTCTAGGAAGGATTACTAATTCTTGAAGAGGAAAGATAATGGTTGTCTACTACGTAGATATTAGAGATAGCTCAATGAATTATTTAGAAATTCCATCAATTATTAGCCACGACTAGTTTCAAAATTTATCCTCAACAGAGATGTCTGGGACTGAAAGATTCCTTCTTGAGTGTCACTGAACAAGAAAAAGGGTATAGTCAAATTTGAATACATCCATTGTCATATTTTCTTGCTAAAGGGGTTTTGGAACTGTATGGATAAGCCTATAACCCCATTTTAAATCTAATTCGCAACTAACAGCAGGTGGGGTTCTAAGGTCTATGGATAGGGTCTGTATTATTTTGGTTTGTATTTGATCTTCATTGTGTGTTATATATTGGTTGCCTGCTCTCAATCTAATATCAGCATTGCATATGAACTGTCACTATAACTTGCTTGTTCAGGTGGAGTTTGTCTCTGGCTATCTTCTTCAGCACAAATATGGCAAAGTCTGTATTTTTATGGCAATATTTGGGTCTGTATGTCTTATGAAATGCCCTTGTTCTCTTTCTAAGTTTGATTATGTGCACATTTATTGTTCCTGCAGTAGAAATTGGTAGGCCTGGGTATCATGTGACAAAACAATATGATCCAGAGACAAAGCAGAGGTCTCTTCTCTTCCAGGTACAATTTATTCCCAATTGTAGTTCAGTTGTATGATATTGTCTTTATACCATTTATGTGCATTAACAATTTGGTTTTGCTTTCCCTTTATCCATGCCAGGTTGAGTATCCTGAGATAGAAGACAATATCAAACTGAGGCACCGACTTATGTCATCTTATGAGCAGGTTAGTGATATATTTCTTTACCTAACAATTCTTTCCTTTAGCAAATGATTTTAGGGTTTCAACACATTTTATTGCATTTAAAAAATGTTGAGCTCTCCATGTGACTTTACTTTTGTCAAAAGCAGAAATCTAATATATTTATTCTTTTATTTAATTTATTTATTTACATGATCATAGAGAGTGCAACCTTTCTTTTGTTAAAACTGAAAAGCAGAATCTTATATCTTTTTTCATTCATGTATTTTTTTAATGCATGTAGAGGGTGCAACCTTTCAATAGAAGATACCAGTGTCTTCTATTTGCCGCAGAACCATATGAGATCATAGCCTTTCAAGGTAATTAAATCTTGTTAGCTCACATTCTCTTAATTGCTGTTAATTTTCATCTATGTTCCATTAAATACTCATCTTAGCTTCTATATTACTTTTCAGGTCTCCAGCACTGAGATTGACAAATCCACATTGGGATCCTGACTTGAAAATGTTCAAGGCAGCACTCCCAAGTTCTTCTCACATTGGGATTGTGACTTGAAAATGTTCACGGTTTGTCTCTTTCATGCCTAACTTTACTGTTTACTGTCATTTTGTTTCTCTTCTCTACCTTTTGTTTTGTTCTTGAGCCTCTTTCCAACCAAACATGCTGTGTTCCTGCCTGCTATACCTAGAAGCTAGAGCTTTTTTACTTTCTGTATTCAACTTTGGTTTGAACTCTCAATCCTTTGTTACTGGGTTGGTCTAAGGAACACTGATTCTTTAATCATTTTTTGGTACATAGCTGTATAATATGGGATATCACTTCCCTTTCCAGATTCCTAATTTCCAACCCGTCCGCCCAATGTTTTAAATTGACACTTCTTACATGAAGAATGATGTTCTTAACCTTTGTGACAGCGCTTAGGGGACTGATTCTTGAAATTTTTGTTCATGTTATCTGACTGTTGTTTGGTCTTCATCAACTTGCAGCTGCAGATGTATTTCAAAGTCAAACCTCAGACTGCCCCAGTAGCCAATGTAACAGTAGCTCCTGGTGCCCCTCCTAGACCTTTAGCCCCACCGCTTCATGCTCCACCACCACCACCTCCTCCACTACAAGGGTTGCCAAATCCTCCTAGAGCCCCACCTCAAGTTTCTGGCTCCCTAACGCCACCTCCTCTTATGGGAAATGGTTCTAGGCCAATGCCTCATGGAAGCGTCTGCACCCTGAACTCCTGGAGGTAGAGGCACAATGGCAAATTTCACTGCTAGCCCTCTAACAATTGCTCCTCAAGGTTTCCCTGGTCAACAGATGCCACCTCCGCTACCTCCTAACATGGGGCAGTAGGTGTCCAGTCAACCATCTTTTCATGGGCATATATCCATTAAGTATCATGCAAAGTGTCAAAGTCCAGGAGCAAAGCTTGTTGTGGTTCAGAGATGTAATCAAATTGTATGCTGGATTTATTATTTGATTCAAGCAGCTTTTGCCATTTACATGGTATAGTATTAGTAAAACCTTTGCTAGTCCTATTGTTGGAATTTCCAATCCAGGTAACAAAGGCACATCGTGAATGTTAATTCCAGTTGGGTATGTTTTGTTTGTCTCGTTGAAATGGCATTGTTTATCATTGGATGCCAGCTGAGATAGCAATAGGAGGGCAAATTTGGCACTGTGTTCAACAACCCTCCATTTCTTTCCTCATTTTTTTGGGGCCATATTCTTCATTTCCTTCTTTATTCTTTGCTCTCATCTCACTCTTTATAAGATAGTGGGTGCTGGTGACCAAATGCCTTTTCATTAGATGCCAATTGAAAAAGCAAATGGAAGGCAAAGTTTGCACTGTCTATGAACTGTTCTCCATTTCTTTCTTCCTTCCCACATTCTTTTGTTTCTTTTTTTATTCTTTACTCTCATCTCTCTCCATCATATTTCATTCTTTCTTGTTCTTTTTCTTTTTCTTTTTCTTTTTCTTTTTCTTTTTTTCCGTATTCTCCATTTCTTTCTTTATTCTTTACAGTTTACTCTCATCTCACCCTCCATTCTAATTCCTAAGGTGGTCGTGGTGCATGTCAAAAAGCCCCTCAGTGGATGCCAACAGCTTTTGCCAAAAAAAAGAGGAAAAAAAAAAAAAGAAAGAGAAAGGCCCTCCAATTCTTTTTATTCTTTCCTTTTCTTCTTTTTCTTTTGCCATATTTTCTATGAGATTGTTTCTGGTTAAAGTATACAATTAACCCTTTACCTTATTGGATCTAAAACTTTTAATTTCTCACCTTATATTACGAAATTTTTAACCTTTAAACTTAAACGTTTGAAGATTTTAATCCCTTGGAATCCGTTAACTCTCTATCAAGTAAGAATAGAATATTTACAAAATCCGTCTTTAAAAATTAAAAATATAATAATTTAGTTTCAAAAGTTTAAAAATTAAAAAAATTTGTAAATTAAAAATAATTAATGAATGTTTTTGTCATGTACATAAAAACAATATTAGATATCTAAAATAAAATTGAGTGATTAGCTCAATCTAAAGAAAAAAATTTGACTGAAACTAAAGAAAAATTTTTAATTATATTCTTTTACTCTCTTAAAATTTTTGTTTTGACTCAGTTAAAAAATTCTATTTAATCTTAATTAGAATTCTTTATTTAAATTGAGAAAATCACTCAATTTATAATAGGTATCTAATACTATTCTAGTAAACGTGGAAAATTCATATATTAATTTCTTTTAATTTACTAATTTTTTTAAATTTTAAACTTTTAGAATTAAATTATTACATTTTTAATTTTTGAAGACTAATTCTGTAAATAATTTATTCTTACTTTAACGGAGAGTTAATTGTTAGTTAGTTAGTTGAGGTAAAATTTTCAAATCTTTAAGTTTAATAGTTAAAAATTTCATAATATAAGATGATGAGTCAAAAACTTTAAATTTAATAACGTAAAGGGTTAAATGTATGGTTTAACCATTTCTTTATTCTCTACTCCCATCTCACTCTCCATCTACGTAGTGGGTCAAGGTGAAAGTCAAAAATGCCCTTCACTGTTGGTACTGTTTGTATATCCATATACAACCTTCCACCATCTCTTCCCTTACTCTTATTCTCACTACTCTCAACCCTTCCCAGGAGCCTGATCCTTTGCAAACTCTGCAAATTTCTTCTTCTGTTCCAAATTCATCCTCTGTCTTCGGCAACCTCTTTCATCTTTTCCACCATCAAACTCTCCCACTGTTTTATCCTTCTTCTTTTTTCTTGTTAAATCTTCTAGTTCCTGTTTGCTCAAACAAAAGAAGTAGTAAAGCCAAGTCTAAGGTATGCATTTATGCTTCTAATTACTCTACATTTTTTGCACATATCACATCTGCAATCTTCTAAAAATTGCTGCTTCTCTATGAAACTGCTAAAAATTAGTTTACCCTATAAAATTGGATGCACCCAAAATATATAAAAACTACTTCCTACCGTCAGACATAGCTGGTTGCTTTGATTTTTTCACTTGTAGGTGATTTAGGTGTATTTTTTTATTTCACTGATTGATATTTGCAAATATCTATATATATATATATATATATGTAGTTCTTATTGAAGACTAGTTTTATCTATCTTTCTATTGTCTGGATGTCTGAGGTCCTATTGACCCAAGACAAACTCTTTCAGCTTTCCAAAAGCCATTTTTCCAGCGAACTCAGTGGCAATCCAATCTCATCTCGTCTTCCACACTCCCTTCCTATTTTTTCCAGCGTAAAACTCTCGCTCTTTTTCACCCATTTTTTCTTATTAAATCTTCTAGTTCCTGACTTCCTCTTCGCTCAAAGAAGAAGAAGAAGAAAAAAAAAAAAAAAAAAAAAAAAAAGTCAAAGGTATGTTACATATTTATGCTTCTAATTACTGTACATTTTTTCTCATCTCTCCCTTTCTCCCTCTCTCCCTCTCTCTTTGTTTTTTCCGGGTCAGTTTTTTTTGTACATCACACATGTATATTACATATTTATGCTTCTAATTACTTGTTATTGTTTTTTCATTAAGATATATCATTTGGAGGATAATAACTTGTAATCTTTACTTTAATCTCATAGAGAACTTGTTCTACGCAATGGAAGTCCTGTCTATAGTAGGAGGAGCACTGTTATCTGCTGCTTTCCAGTTGCTGTTCCAGAAGTTGGATGAAAGTATTAAATCCCACAACTTACAACAAGAAGAGGTCCTTGATGAGCTGAAAAGGTGGAAATTGCTTTTTCCACAAATCCTTGCTCTACTCAAAGATGCTGAAGAGAAGCAAATAACTGACAGCTCCGTGAAGATATGGCTTGATGATCTCAGGGACTTGGCTTATGATATGGAGGACATTCTTGATGGATTCCAGGCTGATGCGCAGAGGAGAACCCTGACAACAAAATCTCACCAAGCCAGCACAAGCAAAGTCATCCGTAGATTCCTTCCTTATTTCAAGCACAATGAATCAGCATTTGACTCTGTCACCATTTCTAAGGTAAAGGAGATTGCTCAGAGATTGAAAAGCATGGTGGATCGCTCGACGACCCTTAGCCTAGTGAGTTCCAGAATGCAAGTAAGAGAGGGGACTGCTGGAGCAGCTGCAAGAAGGGTACCCACCACTCCTCAACTTGAATCTGATGTTTATGGTCGAGATAATGATAAAGAGGCTATTCTTCAGAAGTTGCTCAATGACGAAGGCAATTCTAGAGGAGAGGTATTTTGCGTTCTTCCCATTGTTGGAATGGGAGGTGTTGGCAAGACTACCCTGGCTCGATTGGTTTACAAGGAGGTGGAGCAAGGAAGATTTAATCCCCAAGCCTGGGTTTGCGTCTCTGATCAATTTGATGTTATGAGCATCACAAGAAACATTCTAGAGGAATTAACAAAGGGAAGGTGTGACTTGAACAATTTGAATTTGCTGCAAGAAAAATTGAAAGGAGAGTTATCTGGCAAGAAATTTTTACTTGTACTAGATGACGTTTGGAATGAGGAGTGCAATCTATGGGATAACTTAAAAATCCCTTTCAAATCAGGAGCACCAGGAAGCAAAATAATAGTGACAACTCGTAACATGCGTGTTGCAGAAATCATGGGTGGGAAGAATAGTGTTCACTGCCTAAAAGTGCTAGAGAATGATGACTGCTTGTCAATATTAGCTCAAGATGCACTGGGAGTAGAGAACTTTGATGCACACCCAAATTTGAAAAATGTTGGTCAGGAAATAGTTAAAAAGTGCAAAGGGCTTCCCTTGGTTGCAAAAATTCTCGGGGGCCTCTTACGTGATAGAGAAGACCTTGAAGATTGGAAATACATATTAAACAGTAAGATATGGAATCTACAAGGAATCCAAAGCAGCACTCTTCCAGCTGGTTTGATGTTGAGCTACCATCATCTTCCTTCTCATTTGAAGCAATGTTTTGCCTATTGTGCAATGTTTCCAAAGGATCACCAATTTAACAAAGATGAGTTAATCTTCTTGTGGATGGCAGATGGGCTTTTGAAACAGCAATCAGGAGATAAAAATCAAATGGAAGATATTGGTCATCAATACTTCTCTGAGTTACTTTCAAGAGCTTTCTTTCAACACTCAAGCAAGGATGCATCGAGGTATGTAATGCATGACCTCATACATGATTTAGCTCAATATGTTGCTGGAGAAACATGTTGCAATCTTGAAAATATGTTGGAAGCAAAGAAAGAAGTAAATGCTGAAAAGGTCCGTCATTTATCATTTTATTGTAAAGAGCTAGATATCTCTAAGAGATTTGAAGTTTTGAATAAAATGAAGGGTTTGAGATCCTTCATTCCTATTTATTCATCAGCATTAGTAGGATTAAATGGAAATAATCTATCAAATACAGTGGTGCATGATTGGTTAGTGAAGTTAACATGCTTGAGGGCATTGTCTCTTGGAAGTTATAACATAAGAAAGCTCCCGGATTCAATTGGAGATTGGAAGTGTTTGCGATACCTTAATTTGTCTGAAACTGCCATAGAAACCTTACCTGAATCCATAGGTTTCCTTCAGTCCTTACATACATTGCTTTTACAAAATTGTGAGAAGTTCACTAAATTTCCTGCAACAATTGGGAACTTGAATGACCTTCAATATCTTGATATTTCTAATACACCGTCTTTAAAAGATATGCCGCAGGAAATAGCTAATCTCAAAAATCTTTTGATATTGCCCAAATTCATAGTAGGGAAAACAAATGGACTGAGATTAAGTGATGTGAAGAACTTGTTACATCTTCGAGGGTATCTATCTATTTTAGACCTACAAAATGTTTCTGACAATTTAGATGCCAGACAATCCAACTTACACATGATTGAAGCTTTAGATGAGTTGGTGCTAGCATGGACTTCTGACTTTGATGATTCAAGAGAGGGAAGTGATATTGAAGCGAAAGTGCTCAGCTCCTTAAGACCTCATCAAAATTTGAAAAAGGTGACAATTAATTGCTATGGTGGTAAGCAAATTCCATCCTGGATTGGTGATCAATCTTTTTGCAAGTTGTCCTATTTGAGGTTGTCTGGTTGTAGAAACAGCACTTTGTTGCCATCAGTTGGGCAATTACCTGCACTCACAGAGTTGATTATTGAAGACATGAATGCAATTAAAACTGTTGAATCTGAG